CAGCTCCACTAAAGTCTGTGGGCACAAGTTTTAGTAAATCATCCCCAATGTGTACATGCATCATTGAAACAATGTAACATTCAGCATAGTTGAATTGAAACCTTCTATTCCACACATAAAAAAAAAAAAAAGATCAAACACACAAATATACAATTTAATATCCATATAAAGGCAACTCCCCTATACAGATCTGAAAAGTTACATGGAAGGATAATAGGAAACAAATACTTGCAATCAATTGTAATACAAATACCGACAATAAGATTACGGTTGATCAGAGTAAAACTACGTTCACACTAGCGTTGTCAGCAAGCGGCAGACACACACTTGGGAAGTGTTTTTTACCGTTTTCCAAACACCTGGGAAAATTCTGCACATTGCAGCACATAGTGATGTTCACACGGGAGCGTTAGTGACGCGTCGCGGCAAAACGGACGCCTCTGGTCGAGTCAAGAGGAGTTGAAGCCTCCTGTTCAAGTCTATGGTGCCGCTCCGCAAACGCCCGGCCTGCGTTTGAGAAGCGTTTGCGAAGCGTTAACACCATTCAAACTTCATTATAGGCGTTTGTGGGGCGGCGTTTTTAACGCTTGGCAAACGCCTAGCAACTGCCGCTAAATCGTGCATATGGCATTTTTGGAGCGTTTGCGGAGCGTTAAAAACGCTCCGCAAATGCCGGACCAAAACTTGTCAAATGCTATAGGGGAGTTCGGCAAGAGTTGGAAACAAAGTCAAGTGTGAACAAGCCCTAAGGCTCCATGTACAGGAGCCTACCCTGACCAGCGGCCCTGAGAAAACGCAAATCACGGCAAAGCCGCGGCAAAAACACGGTACTGCGATTTTGCACTATCAGAGGTCAAAACATTCCTATCCTAAATGCGATTCTTCCCCGTTCAGGGGAGGGAGGTGTAACCTCACCTAAACATGGCAGCTCCTAAACTCTGCTAAAAGCCTAAGTGTACGTGGACACATGGGCTTCTATGGAGTTGAGTTTAGGAGCTTTGGCAAAAAAAATGCCAAAAGCCCGTAACCTGGAGTTTAGGAGCTGCTCGTGTGCATGAAGCCTTATGATACAAACAATGTATTCAGAATCAAATGATCACATTGGGGGAGATTTACTAAAATTGGAGCACTCAGAATCTGGTGCAGCTGTGCATGGAAGCCAATCAGCTTCTAACTTCAGCTTGTTCAGTTAGGCTTTGACAATAAAATCTGGAAGCTGATTGGTTTCTATGCAGACCAGATTTTTCACTTTCCAGTTTTAGTAAATAGCCCCCACTGCATAGTTCATCAGTGCAATGCGAACATTCCTCAAGCCAGTAACCTTCCAATCCTTGCTCAGCATGGAATCTCCAGTTGTTTCTGCTGAAACTATTCATTGTGTAAATCCGATCAATGACAGCGCATACCAATGACACGTATAGAGTCATCGCCACCAGCAATGCACGCTGCAACCGTTTAAAAAGCCAGTGCAAGTGCATTCCACCCATAACGGATATTTCCGTTTTTTGCAGGAGCTGCTCATTCGGAAATCTTTTGAACAGTACAAGAATTCGAATCTTGCTCTTTGGTTGACAGCTCCCCCATCTACCACAGCCAGTAAGAGCGTTCCCACTTTCCCTGTTCAATTGTTCATGTATTTTATTTCACAACCTGGGTTCTGTGGAACATTAGGATTCCTCCAGGGGCTGCTAGGGGTTCCTTGAACGATTTCTACCTCTCAGATAAGTAACCATGGACACCAATGAGCTTTTTGTCTCTGTTACGGTGACCACAGACATTACAATCTGATCGTACAATCTCCTTTAGATCTACCATGAACTATATAGTATAACGGCCTGGCTGACATGATATGAAATATTGTTTCTTCGGTTCGTTCTCATATTATACAGTCTGTACAGAAATTGTACAATCAAATTGTGTAATCAGCTTAAGGTTGACTGTGCAATCTCCTTTAGATTTACCATCAGTCATGTAGTACAAAGTCTTCCTGATCAAATGGCTTTTTTGGGTTTGCCCTCGTATTACATAGTTTTGGCAAAGGTAAAAGGATAATGGATACTTGTCTGTTAATTCACCAGATTTATTTATTTATAATATATATATTTTATGTTTTATTTAAATATATATAAAAAAAAATAATATATATATATATATATATATATATATATATATATATAAATCCGGTAAATTAACAGACAAGTACCGGCTAATGTATCCAATCAGGCAAGCCCTTGCACTACACAGCTGATGGTAATATATATTACCATAAAGGAGATTTTACAATCAGATTGTATAGTGTATGGCCAGCTGAAGGGGGGGGTCTTCTAACTGACCACAAATGTAAGGAGCATTCTTTCCAGTGACTATCACACTAACCCTAGGTTCACATCTGTGCGGGTGGTGCCGATGCGTATTTGCACGAAAATCCGTGCAGCCGCACCACCCACACAGAGAAATGCGGACCCGCGGGCACCATTAGTTCTAATGGCATGCCGCCGACACTGGAAAATGCAACCATACTGGGAACCGAGGTTCCCATGCGGGCTGCGTTTCCCAAAGAAGTGCCGGCACATCTTTTCCTCCTGCGTGGCATGGGCACGGGAGTCCATTCAAATGAATGGGCTCTTGTGCCCGTGCAACACTCGGCCCGCATGTGTGCATAGGTGTGAACTGGGGGTAATGTACCATAAGCTGTAGATACAGTAATTATTAGCAGGGGCTCCCTTAGTCCAGAACATTATTTAAAGGGTTCCTCCATAATAAAAAGGTTGAGGAAGGATGGACTAGGGACTTTGCATTGGTCACTTACAGTCTAATTCATTAAAACACATTTTTTAGCTATCTGTAAGGGGGGATTCTTCTCATTGACCCCAAGTGTGAAGAGCATTCTTCCCACTGACCATTACACATGGAAATTAGATATAACAATTGTTACAAGGGGTTCCCCAAGATCAGAAAATGATTTCAAGGTTTCCCCCCATGTAAAAAAAAAAAGTTGAGAAAGGCTGCTTTAGATTGTATCAAGAGAGCTGAATCTCTACTGATAAGAGGAATCTCACCACTGACCACCCAGGAAGATGGGCAACGTAATCAGAAACATCAGTGGACCGACCCTTGAAGACATCTTAGCAGCACTTAGCAAGGATGCATTCACTTGAATCATACCCAACAGAGCTCAAATGCCATTCATAGATAACAACAGAACATATGGTACAATAATGGAGGAAAACAAAAACTGGTCAAAACATCATAACACTTCACTGGAAGCAAGGAGGAAATATTTGTATCATGGGAGAAGAAATGTTTTATTGAAAAGGAACACATCCTATAAAAAGTTTGTATCTTCCTTCCCTGAGAAAATGGGTATTATCGGGTTAGGTTTGTCAAGAAAGATGGGCAAATTGCTGCTTTCTTGGTGAAATGCAGGTTATCCTGAACACTTCAAACACAAATCAGCAGATATTGATGATCAATAGGTGAGCACTTACCATTGAGTCCATTGGGAATACTCCTGTGGTGGGGCAGGGTAGAAAGGTCATCTGCGGATCGCCTGATGGCCCCAGACTTACTGTTCTCCACCGGTTTATGGTGATGGTGGTGGTGGTCAGGGCTCCCTGCACTGCCAGTGCTGGAGGTGCTGCTGCCATCACCTACATCCCTGGTACCAGAACCCCCATTGAGGTTGGTGAGGCTGGTCTGGCTGTCTATGGAACTCCTAGAACCAGCTCCATTTCCTTTCCTCATCCAGCATGAGGACTATCTCCTTGAGCTCCAGGTTGTCCCTCAAGAGAGCCTCTTGCTTGGCCTCTAGTTCCTTCAGCTTCTGTTGGTAAGCCCCCACCTCCTTCCACACCACACTGGCCGTGTGCCTGCCAAACCTTTGCCATTCCCTGGACAGCTTCTTGCCTTTCTGCCGGTCATCGTCCAAGAAGCAGCAGAGTTCCCTGAGCTCCTGGTTGTCATCCTGAAGTTTCTGGTTGACCTCCTTCAAGCCCCTGATCTCATGCAGGTGGAGCTGCAGCCTCCTGTTCACGTCCTTCATCAGATTGCCATGCTCCACCATCAGGTTCATCTTCTCAGTCTCCACTTTCCTCAACCTCTTGATGAGGTCTTCCTTGTTCCACCTCAGAAGCTCCTCATCTGAGATCTTGTTGAGCTCCTCCGCAGACCCTCCTTGGGTATGCTTGGCCATGGCAGGTGGTTCAAAAATGGATAGATGGTTGTATACAGCAAAGGGTGCCCAATTAAGATCAAAGTCCCCTTCTGACAACTAGCATCACTGTGCTGCTATACAACACATGCAAAGCCCAGGCAAGGTCCAGAAGGCTCATTCATTGCTGGTTGCAACTTGTGCAGAGGGGTCTTCAAGGGATGTTCCCTCCCCAGACATTTACTCAAGGGGGTTGTGTCCCTGTGTCATGGAGACTGAAATCCGCCTTGTGTGCAGATATAATCCTCCAGCTCAGCCAGGGTTCGATCTCACAGCTCTGCTGTCTCCAGCTCATCTGAATCCGCCTCCACCCTCCCAGTCCTGCCTGTCCTCCAGCACTGCCAGCTTTTTTTTTTTTTTTTTTTTCCTTTTTCCTCCTGGATCAAACAAGCTTTATTGACAATTACCTGGCGTACAGCCCAAACTAGGTCAACGTTCTACTCCAGTTGAAAAATAACAGTTAGAGAAGCATGAGGCTGAGCTCCAACAATGGTGCAACTTCATCCCGATCAGAGTCTGCGCTGACTCTGCTTACAATATTTTACATGTTTATGTTGTTTTTGGATACTCTTATGCCGGCCATACATGGGTCGAATTTTGACCGATTTTTCGTTCAAAAATCGGACCTAAGAATAATCGGCCGACTTTCGCTCTGTTAGTGGGTCAATGGCACCGGACGATTTTCGTGTTTCCTCCCCTTTTTGTTGATCAGGCATGTTGGAAAATTCATGAAAAACGACTGATTTTCGACTCAATGATGGTCAAATCATACAATCGTTTTTCCAAAAAGAATATGCACATGAGCCGTGGTCAGGGGCGGACTGACAACTCATGGGGCCCCGAGCAATAGGGGATCATGGGGCCCCTGTGTCCTTGCCCAAACTCAAAAAAGCCTATGAAAAAGGTACCAGGGGCATCTCATGGGGCCCCCTACTGACCCTGGGCCCTTAGGCAGTGCCCGAGTTTCCAAATGGTCAGTCCGCCCCTGGCCGTGACCTGGAAGGAAAAGACGTTTTGTCTGTATGAAATGCTCCAGTGCTACCAAGCCAAGCATCATTATGGCAGTTTTTTGTTTGGAGATGTTGCTGGGCATTGTCATGCAATATAGTGTCGTTCAGACAGAATGTTCGTCCAAAACACTTACAATGTTCGGTCAGTCAGCCTCTCCGTATAGTGGGGGAGGGACAGAATTTCCTGTTATATGGGGTGAACTTTATGACTTGGTGGTCGGCCGTTTGTGAAAACATTGATGGCACCATCAGATTACCGAGCGAATGACGGTTTCGATTTTTGGATGAAGAATTGTTCGGAATTTGAACCACGTATGTCCTGCATTAGCAATCCCACAGAATAAAAATATTAAAAATTGCATCGCATGGGAACGCGCAGGAATCGCACCGGAATGCAGCACGAGGGCCGGAATGCAGCAGAGCGCAGTGCAGAAAAGTCACGTTCTGTGTGCGTTTCCTGAACCACACTCAAAACGCAGTGCCTTTGTGATCTGCTGCAGGTGCCTGTGTATTCTCAGCCGCACCCCAAATATAGACTGCAACCGCACTGCCTCTGTAGTCTGCTGCAGGTGCCGGTGTATTCTCAACCGCACCCCTTATACAGACTGCAACCGCAGTGCCTCTGTGATCTGCTGCAGGTGCCGGTGTATTCTCAACCGCACCCCACATACAGACTGCAACCGCAGTGCCTCTGTGATCTGCTGCAGGTGCCGGTGTATTCTCAACCGCACCCCAAATACAGACTGCAAACGCACTGCCTCTGATCTGCTGCAGGTGCCGGTGTATTCTCAACCGCACCCCAAATACAGACTGCAAACGCATTGCCTCTGATCTGATGCAGGTGCCGGTGTATTCTCAACCGCACCCCACATACAGATTGCAACCGCAGTGCCTCTGTGATCTGCTGCAGGTGCCGGCGTATTCTCAACCGCACCCCACATACAGATTGCAACCACAGTGCCTCTGTGATCTTCTGCAGGTGCCGGTGTATACTCAACCGCACCCCAAATACAGACTGCAACCGCAGTGCCTCTGATCTCCTGCAGGTGCCGGTGTATTCTCAACCGCACCCCAAATACAGACTGCAACCGCAGTGCCTCTGTGATCTCCTGCAGGTGCCGGTGTATTCTCAACCGCACCCCAAATATAGACTGCAACCGCAGTGCCTCTGTGATCTCCTGCAGGTGCCGGTGTATTCTCAACCGCACCCCAAATATAGACTGCAACCGCAGTGCCTCTGTGATCTCCTGCAGGTGCCGGTGTATTCTCAACCGCACCCCAAATATACACTGCAACCGCACTGCCTTTGTGATCTGCTGCAGGTGCCGGTGTATTCTCAACCGCACCCCAAATATAGACTGCAACCGCAGTGCCTCTGTGATCTCCTGCAGGTGCCGGTGTATTCTCAACCGCACCCCAAATATAGACTGCAACCGCACTGCCTTTGTGATCTGCTGCAGGTGCCGGTGTATTCTAAGCCGCACCCCAAATACAGACTGCAACCGCAGTCTGTATTTGGGGCCATCAAATTGCATAGTACTGCAGTACCCGGTTTTTAAAGGTAGTGCATGCACTACTTTTTCCATGTTCTGGTTCTATTTGCAGCCATTTAAATGAATGGACTGCAAAGATGGCGCCCCATGGGAACCCGCAGGAATCACACAGTAACTGCCCTAAAAGTGGAAGCTGCCTCTTTATTTGATACATTTGTATGGTCAATATGCGCACTATACCTAGAGGTTCCATTTGGGCTTGTTCACATCTGCGCACTTTTGCCAAGCAAAAACGCACGTGCTCAATGTGTCAAATAAATCGGTCCCATTTAAAATGCTGTAATGTAACTGTTCACATCTACGTGCTGAACTTTTGGAAAGTCAGATTTGTGACCAAAGAGTATCAGCGTTGCTGATTGATGCAAAACGACTGGTAATTTTCCACCCTGGCCAATCGGTTCAGCTTGATTGAATCTGATCTGACCCTAGGTTCACACCTAAGCGTTTTGCATTTTACAGAAACGCAGTGCAGTCCATTTAACATGATTTCCTATGGGACATGTTCACACCTCTGCGTTTTCACCCGGTGCGTTTTTTTGGAGAGGGGCAGCGACTTTTTTGAAGGCAAAAAGTTGCACTTTTGGTTCTAGAGACTTCAATGAAAACGCTGCAGAAAAGCATGTAGTGCGTTTTTGCTGCGTTTTGCATTTTCATCTGCCCAGCAACAAAAAAAAAAATGCATGTGCAAAAATGCAAAACACACCACAAAAAGCACTGCAGAAACAGATCAAACGCAAACTGCACAGGTGTGAACCTAGGCTTAGATCCCTTTCACAGTGCGGGGAAATCACACCAGAGAAGTGTGAAAGGGGTCTAAAGAAGACCCTAATTTTCTTTTCCCAATTGACTGCAAAGTATTTTGCCAAAATGGACAAATACTGTTGAAATCTCAGCAATATTTCTGGGAAAAGAAAACTCTTCATTTTGCTGTATTGATATTCTAATGCTGTTTTTAACCCATTCTTGCCAAATCTGCCTAGCGACAAGAAAAAAAAAATGATAAAAACCTGCAAAACACATAAAAAATGCACGCGTCAAAAGCGCAGGTGCAAAAACACAAAACGCAACACAAAACGCAATGGAGAAATGGGTCAAACTTAACCTGCATAGGTGTGAACCTAGCCTTATTCCTTGATGAATGATTGCTTTTTCAATCAATCTCTCTAACAGGAATAATCGATCTATAGCCTACAATCCATTCAATCAATATGCCACACACTTGAGAAGTGGATTTAAATTGCTGTCTAAGACACAGTGGTGACTTACAATTGTAAATTATCGATCGCATCTCTATATTAACCGTGTAATCGCATAATCTGATAAATCCGATAAGTTTTTGTTTTCTTTACCGATCAATCTCTTCCGATAGGAATATTTGATATATAATATTTGATAGGAATAACATATAAAGCCATTTATAACTCTGTCCCCAAATTACATCACCAATCTTGTCTCCAAATACCACCCAAACCGCACTCTCCGCTCCTCCCACGACCTCCTGCTCTCTAGCTCCCTTGTCTCCTCCTCCCATGTTCGTCTCCAGGACTTCTCCAGAGCCTCCCCCATCCTCTGGAACTCTCTATCCCAATTTATCAGACTATCGCCTACTCTGCTCACTTTTAGGCGATCTCTGAAAACCCATCTCTTCAGGGAAGCCTATCCTGCCCTCAGCTAATAATGGAATCTTCTACTCTTCCAACCAGTCCATCCCCCACATTTACTACCTTTTGTACCACTAGCCCCTCCCTCCTAGATTGTAAGCTCCAAGGAGCAGGGCCCTCCTAAACCTTGTATTGAACTGTATTGTTGCTGTATTGTCTCCCATTATATTGTAAAACGCTGAGCAAACTGTTGGCGCTATATAAATCCTGTAGAATAATAATATTATGTAATCAACAACCCAATTAATCGATAAGCTACACAATGGGAAGTGGTTTTGAGTCAATTGGAAGATCTCCGTTTCCACCACACAAACTAATAAACTGATTGATCGAAATATGATCGAATTAATGAACAAAGTATCTCAGTGCTGCCGACAAGACTTTCTGTTCTGGCAAAATAACTCCGGTTGAAATATTACGCATATATTTGGAATGCATGCAGTGCAAGTACCTGAATCTGATTTGGTAGCGGTCATGTGGCGTTTTAGGTCCCCTCCCCACCCCCAGCATTCGACAGGAAAGTGAGAGGAGAAGCAGAAGATTGATGAGTTCATCTCTCTGTCACTCTACTCTCTCCTTCTATCAGCATGCTCCTTGCACTGTTTTAACCCTGAAAAAGCCAAACCACCCTCTTGCAGTCTTAGCTATGCTGTACAGGGACTGCAAGAGGGTGGTTTGGCTTTTTCAGGGTTAAAACAGTGCAAGGAGCATGCTGATAGAAGGAGAGAGTAGAGTGACAGAGAGATGAACTCATCAATCTTCTGCTTCTCCTCTCACTTTCCTGTCGAATGCTGGGGGTGGGGAGGGGACCTAAAACGCCACATGCACACTGGATGTTTAGCATTTTTCCACGTGCCCAGCCCCAATCATCTGCCCCTAACTGTAGGTGATTGCTGGCTATTTCCTGTGCTGCATTCTGGTGTGAATGGGCCCTGCATTTTGTCATGGAACAAAATGTGGGGCTGCTGCCAGCGTTTGGGATGTTAGAAAGAAATATTGGAATCACGAGCGCATTGCACATTTTGCTGCGGTTTTAGTGCATTTTTGAAATTCCCAACTGTGAATGAGGCCTAGGCCTATAAATTGTGCATCACATTCCTGTGCAATTTACATGCAATTCAGTGCAGTGCAATTTTAGCATATTCATTTTGAATGGGCTGAAATTTTATTTATTTTTTACAGGTACTTACATAGCGCTGTCAATTTACACAGCACTTTATATATATTGTACATTCACATCAGTCCCTAACCCTCAAGGGGTGTACAATCTAAGGTCCCTAACTCACATTCATACATACACATACTAGGGACAATTTAGACAGGAGCCAATTAACCTACCAGCATGTCTTTGGAGAGTGGGAGGAAACCGGAGTACCTGGAGGAAACCCACGCAGGCACAGGGAGAACATGCAAACTCCAGGCAGGTGGTGCCATGGCTGGGATTCAAACCAGCGACCCCAGTACTGCCAGGTGGAAGTGCTAACCATTTAGCCACTGTGCTGCCCTAATCGCACTGCACCAAACTAAAAATAGTGCATGCACTACAACATTTATACAATGCAATCCGGTGCAGGCAAAGGCACTGTGTTTGCAACCTGCATTTGGGGTGTCATTAATATCGCACTGACACCCACTGCAGATGGCAAGGGCAGTGCGATCTGAATGCGGTGCCAGAAACAAGCATGGATGCAGCTTTCCCATACTGCGTTCCAGTGTGAATGGGTCCTTACCATGTTTCTGAAAACACAGCCAAAAATGCACGTT